GCATCTTTGGCCTTGGTCAAAAAAGCCCACTACTTCCAAAACGTACAAAGACTCCATCATCTGTCAAATGGACTGCATCAGTGTGATCAGAGCGATCTGCCCCTGACATTCCTGAACAGCTGCCCAAAGATTAGTCAGGATTAGTCAGCATGAGTGCCTGGAAATGACTGGGTCACTATACCGGTCACATTCAGCGGGAACCAAGCCTACATGAAAACACGGAGCAACAGATGTGTACAGGGATGCACAGGTAGCAAGACAGATGGGGTTAAAGACAGGCACAGGCTGGAGGACAGTGATGCGGTAAAGACTAGACTCGGGTTGTGATGGGTATTCAAGGGCCCTTTGAATTTTTTTTTTATATTTTCAAGTTCTTCTTTTTTTTTTTTCAATGATTAATAATAATTGAAAATGCATGTCTATTTATTTATTTTTATTTATTTATAAAATAATAGGGCCCTTTTACTTTATTATTGAAGATGGCGGCAAAAAAAACTAAACAAAAAGAAGACCTAAAACATGAACAATTTAACTAATCTTTTAAAACGTAACCAACTGAAAAATTTACAATTCCTTTTATTATTTAACAAAGTGTTGGACAACAGAGGTTTACTGTTAAAATTAAAACATGGAAGAAAAGTTGCATGGTATTCCTTTAAAGAATTAATAATTGCATTATTATTACTTTGAAAAGTACATTCTACTATGAAGTAGTCATATATTTGTCATGATTTCTTCAAGTTAAACCAAACGTTTATTTTGACGTGTTGTCGTGAAGACCATTGAGTTTCTTCATGTATATGACAGCAGTTTTTAATTAAATGAAATAGACTTTTAGCACCTCAATATTCACAGAAACTAATCCATTTCACTCGCAAGCGTACAGCCCTACTTTTAATTTATTCATTCAAAAATCCATGACATCCTGTTACATTATAAATTTGTCACATACACAGTTACATACAGAATACAATCTGCAGTGAAATGTGCATGTATAAATGTAAATGGATGTAAATTTTATGACTGATTTCCATGTTTCCCTATGTGTGCAAGGCTGATAGCTTTTGGAACGTTTTCCCAATCATACTGATCCTGCTGCTTCAACACAGTGCCTTCTTTTTACACGGCAAATCAAAACACTGAAAGCTTGAGCTCCCTGTGATTGAAAAAGCACACAAATATTAATTCTTAAACAACACACAGAAAAATGAGTGCAGCAGTGTTGTCCTGGGCACAGAGACATTTACAGGCACAGACGGGTCTTTGAGTGGACTCCTCATGAAGAGAACGGTTTGAGCCCGAGGGGAGGTTCAGATCAGGGAGACTCTTTCACATGCACTATTACAGGGTAGGAGATATGAACTCATCTTATCTTAGTCTTATTTTACATCAAAGTTTATCATACTATGGTTGTTTTTGCTGGAATTATATTCAGTACCATTCTGTAATGCCTATTTATGGATAAACCAGTGAATTAAATGCACACTTAGTAAATAGTAATATACATATACAATATAAAAAAAATGAATGAAACGTGGTTAACTACTTTTTTCCTACTATTTGTAATTAAAATATCGGTAACAAAAAGGTTAAATTAACATTAGTTATCATGAACTATATTATTAATCTTGGTTTAATGTTATTTTCTGCATGTTCTAAATTAATAAATTTTTTCCATGATTTTAAATGATACATTAACATTAGCTAACGCACTGTACTGTATTATGAATGCATTAATGAACACTATATTTATAAATTAACATACATTTAGATTAATAAACGCTTCTAAAATAGTTTGCAGTACCTTATGCATTAACTAACATCAACAAAGTGAACCTTATTGTAAAGTGTTCCTAAAATATCTTTACCTTGAACTACATTTTGTCATATGAACAAAGCGAGTTCACTTCATGAAAGAATCATCAGAATGATTAAATCCAGTAATTCTTGAGCTTGAAAGTCTTTTGAAAACAAATAATGCTTTCAATTCAAATTAATTTGTTCTGAATCAGGCTTCACTGGTCAGCCAAAAGAACAATTTTACAGAAAAACATGACTTCTTGCCTTTATTTGGGTCTTCATTTAATTCAGACTGTGAACCAAAAAAAAAAAAGTAAAACTAAATTTAGTCTCCAAATTGAATAGACAGCTTACAACGTTGTAGTGAAATAGCAGAAACACAAACACTGATTATATTTGCAACATTTTGCAGCAATATTTTTTACTAATTCTGCTTGTGCAGCAGTGTTATTATTATTATTATTAACTAAAACAAACCATTACAAATTTTAATTTGTTAAAACAAAGCTGAAAAAAATATATAACTATTACATGAAAAAGTACAAAAAAAACCAAAAAAAACTTAAATGATGCTAAAAAACAAAAGCAGCCATGTGGATATTGGCCATCTACTGTGAAATAAAAGAGTAAAGCAAAATCTCTAGCGGTTTACATACACTGAACAAACTAAAACAAACCATTACAAATTTTAATTTGTTAAAACAAAGCTGAAAAAAATATATAACTATTACATGAAAAAGTACAAAAAAAAACAAAAAAAACTTAAATGATGCTAAAAAACAAAAGCAGCCATGTGGATATTGGCCATCTACTGTGAAATAAAAGAGTAAAGCAAAATCTCTAGCGGTTTACATACACTGAACAAAATTATAAACGCAACGCTTTTGTTTTTGCCCCCATTTTTCATGAGTTGAACGCAATAAGATAAGACTTTTTCTATGTATACAAAAGGCCTATTTCTCTCAAATATTGTTCACAAATCTGTCTAAAGCTGTGTTAGTGAGCACTTCTCCTTTGCCGAGATAATCCATCCACCTCACAGGTGTGGCATATCAAGATGCTGATTAGACAGCATGATTATTGCACAGGTGTGCCTTAGGCTGTCTGCCATCTGCCCTGTACAGAGAAAACCGGGATTCATCCGTGAAGAGAACACCTCTCCGAAGTGCCAGACACCATCGAATGGGGTTTTTTTTTGAGAGTGCATTTGCCCACTCAAGTCAGTAACGACGACAAACTGCAGTCAGGTCGAGGCCCCGATGAGGACGACGAGAGAAATAGGCCTTTTGTGTACATAGAAAAAGATAAGATCTTTGAGTTCAGCTCTTGACAAATGGGGGCAAAAACAAAAGTGTTGCATTTATAATTTTGTTCAGTATATATCTCTCGCATTATGCAATATAAACTATCACACTGCCACTCCAAACCTTCAAGATTGATCTGAAGTGATATTATTAGCAATATGTCAAAGAAAACATGATGTGCTCTAACCACCTCAACAAAGAATCTAGCCAGTACAGACCCACTTTGAAATAATAATCAGCAGTTAATTACTCACAGCCAGGATGGTGGCAGCTGGTTGCTAAAAAAAACCCTGCTGATTTAACCCTCATTGTATTAGCATGCTTACAAGACAAATACTGTCTATCCTGTCTTACTTCAGCAAAGCTGACAAATTTGACATGCAGGTGACAGGTGAACTGCAAACTAGCTGTTTAGTTTGTGTTAACCACACTTCACTAACACAGGATAATTAACTAGTCATGACAGGGTCTATTAATCCAGTGCTGAAATTCTACAGGACAGAGGATTTTTATATATATTTATAAGTAAGAATATAGATTTCAATGGTGTCTCCATTGCTGAAATCAGAGAAGAATCAGCCCAGCCAATGATCACCCACACTCAGCTTAAAAGCATCACTGTGCCTTTGAGATAAATGATTCAGGGACAAAGAAGAGCATACAAGACAGATTAGCAGGGTTCCAATGATTCCTTTGGACAACACATGTTTAATATAAAGTGGTAAAGATGATTTAGGCCTGGAAAATTTCAGCTGTTGGTCTTTTCTGCCCCACTCCAGTCTGCAGCCTGACCCGAAGGGACTTTTCCTTTGTGCATGAAGGACATGTTTGTTTTCCCATTTTGTGCTGATTCATGATAAAAAGTTTCAGGCCAGCATACAGTCTGTGCATGGAACTCCACTGATGATTTTCACTCTTTACAAACTTTATTAACTCCTTGACTCGTGTTTTCAGCAACTAACAAGAGTAAAGTACTACAGAGGCCCTAAGAGGACATAACGATGGAAAAATGTGAGAGGAACAATTACATTAAAATTATATTTACATAATTTTTTTTTATACATCACTCTTGCAAAACTTTAGCGTTCGCTCACAAAACTTTTGCATTTCCCTGAAAAACTTTGTGTTCCACCCAAAAAAACCTTTACGTTCACTTGCAAACACTTTGCGTTCACTTGCAAACACTTTTACATTCACTTGCAAAAAGTTTGTTCCCCCAAAAAACTTTACGATCTCTCACAACCACTTTACGTTCACTTGCAAAAACATTGCGATCTCCCCAAAAAACTTTACGTTCACTTGCAAAAACATTGCGATCTCTCACAAAAACTTTTACATTCCAAGAAAAACTTTGCAATTCCTCACAAAAACATTTGTTTCCCCAAGATATTTTCACTTGCAAAACTTTTGCATTCCCCTAAAAACTTTGCATTCTCCCCCAAGAAACATTTCGTTCACTTGCAAAGCTTTTGTGTTCCCCAAGAAACTTTGCATTCACTTGCAAAACGTTTGCGTTCCAAGAAAAACTTTACATTCATTTGCAAAACTTTCACATTCCCCTGAAAACCTTTGAGTTCGCCCAAGAAAATTTGTTTACTTGCAGAAAATTTAGCTTTCCCCCAAGAAACTTTGTGTTCACTCACAAAGAATGCAGACGTTTTGCTAGGGAACGCAACATTTCTTAAAGAAACAAAACTTTTGCAAGAGAATGCAAAATCATTGGACTATAATTTTATCTCAAATTCTTTTCCATCACTATGTCCCTTTAGGGGCTCCGTATAATACTCTCGGCTAAATGTTTAAATAAATCCCACACAATTTCACAGATCTCCCTCCAAATAGAAAATACAAAAAAACAGACCAGGGCAAATAGTTCATAGATTGTTTGATTCTTACCTTTGAGGTCTTCAGAGAAGAAAGCAGAGTGTCTTGAAATAAACAGTTTCAGCTGTTCATCTATATTGCAGGCAGTCAAGTCGATGTTCCAGGAGCGAATACCTACACAAAAATGAAACCGGCCCAGTCAGACTGCAGTCAACACAAGCAAAAGCTCAATTATTCATAGACCATGTTCACTGTCCTCTGAAGATACTGACATTGTGCACTTTCACTGAAAAACAGCCTCCTGTGGTACATGGGACAAGACACACTGGCACAGACTGCATTTATAAACCAGCTGGTCAGATTTTTCTGCGGTGTGTGCAGTAAAGAGTAGGTGAACTGCACCTTTTAGGGTTTTTGTGAAAACATGAGACCAAGAAGCATTTTTCTTTAAATACATATTTTATAACCAAACAAGAGGTCAAAGTCAAACTTGGTTTGAGTTTTTGTTCTCTGGACAGAAATAAAAAGAGAGAGAGAGCAGGAGAAGTTACACACAATTCAATAGCAAACTGGAAAAAAGCTTTTTTTTTCCCCTGAGCCAAAATAAGTTGACCTCTTTCTACCACTGACTCTCTTACAAAGAACCCCACTACTGCAATGAATGCATTTTTTCCTCACGTACTGCCCAAACTGTGATTTTGAACCAAATATTTAGCAGTACTGGATGGTATGCAATATGCTTTGACAGTAGCCTGTGTTTTCCTAGCCTTTGTATTTTCCAATAGTGCAGCTGAGTAACAAGCCTCTGACTAACGATATAACGTGACAAAACACACACGTGAACCACATAAGCTCAGGATATTTTCACAGTCTTATGGAATGTCTCTCTCATATGTTGCATTCGGAAGTCCAATTTATTTTAGTGAATCGGCCAGTAAATAGTCAATACAGCTGTTTAATATTATATATTACATCAATTGATAGTCCAATATATTTTAAAATATATTGCCATTTAAATTAGCTTTAATGCATTTAGCTACATTTTAGTGGGTGTTTACATGACACTGTTTTCAAGTAAAAACAAAAAATTTTTTTTATTCATTTTAGCCATTCATTTATACGACAATGACGTTCTGGGGGCCTGAAAATGCAAACTTTTGAAAACGGGTTTCAAAGTGCGAGTTTTTGAAAATTAAACCATTATCTTCCCCAAGTAAACTATAAAAACATGAATTTGTTAAATCCGTGAACCGTGCATATTTTGAGTTCGGTCTATCCACCTTTATCTTCAACGCGGAAGTAAGCCTATGGGTGAGACTTCCGGTTCATTAGCCGCTATAGGTAAATAACGAGGAGAATAACAACGTGCAGTAAACGGTAAAACTGTTTGCACTACAAACCAGTGTGTTCATAATTAAGATAATACATTGAAATAATATGATAAGCCACACCAACTTTCAATATCAAGCAGCAAAACGAACTGTTTTGCTCAGCTAAAAATAGCTGGAAGGAGTGGACGCAGATGAGACCGGAAGCCAGACCCATATAATTTACAAATGGCCGCGCCCATTTTTACGACAAGAAAAAGGTGGATAGCTTTGTGTGCAGGCGCATAGTGTTACTTTATAAAGTGACATCGCCACCTACTGGCCTGGCATGAATAATACAGCGTTTTTAGTTGTTTTCACAGATCCATGCGAACGGGAATCGGTTTGACAATGTTCTCATCTGTACACAAATCTTTTAATAAAACGAAAGGAAAATCTTTTCCGTTTCTAGTACAATTGTTGTCGTGTAAACGTACCCTTAGTAGCTACTTGGGTAGACAAGTACTTTTTTCAAAAAAGGTCCACTGTATGTTGCCGTTAGTGTAGTGATGTATAAAGCACAGCTCAAACTCACTTTCAAACCAAACAGCTTTCTGTTGGTCAACATGGTGAATTCGTTTGACCAACTCAACCCTGCGCGGGTAAATACTTTGGCCTCAATGCTAAATTCCCAATCGCATGGATTCCTATTGAAATAACTGGATTTCACTGTGAAAATATGCCAAACAATGGTGAACGTGACCGCATCTGAACAACTTCAAATTACAAAGTAGCTTGTAGCTTTTTCAACCCTGGTATCTACGCGTTGATATGCAAGTTACTATGTGGTTGCTAGCGTATCGGTAGGGCGCTTCTCAAGAAGCCACACAATACACGTCGTCATTCATGCCTGTTGAACAAACGTTGCACTCTTCAGTTTGTAGACTGGTGTGTTTTAGAAGGATAAAGAAGTGTGGGAGCTGATCGCGTTTTAAGGAATGTGGTGCAGAAAGTTTTCGTGATTTACGAACTAATTGTGGTCACACTTTCAGTAGGGCTCAACAAGGGCCAAAATGACAAAAAAAAAAAACACACTGCGGTTCACAACAGAAGAATCCCTTCCTATTTAAAGTTGCTGACAGCATTTAAAACAGAAGAAAGCGTATTCCTGTCAGACTAGTGAGGTGGAAGCTGCAGCGTCTGGCCAGGAAGAGAAGGAAACACTGGCAACAGTCCCAAAGAGGATGTGTGTGTATCAGTCACACGGCCCTTGTGTAAAACCACAGATAAAGGGACCGAAAATCAAAGGAAAGCAGAGGATAAAAGAACAATAACCACAGTAATCCCAGCTGCACACACACAATCATCTCTATCCAGCCTGGTCTCAGTCTGACTCACTAAAAAGTCTATAAACCCCCTCTAAAAGCCAACAGGGGTGGAAGACCAGCTTAGGCCGGTCTAATCAGTTTTCTTTCAACAAGGCAGATGTACCTCACACATTTTAAAGATGAACTTTGAACCATCCAGCACAATGAGGAAGGAGAGTCTGCAAACACAAGATTGGCTATATATAACTGTGCAAAAGAGCTGCTTCGCTTTTCATGGACTTTCAACTGAGAAAACAAGCCAGTGACGCATATCAGCTGCTATATGAATGCGCTTATCTTTCTTTCATAAGAGGGTGCGTTCAGATTGGAGGATTGCAAGCAGACCGTCTGAAAAGGGAAGTCACGTTGGCTTAACCATGCTGAAGTAAATGAGCGGCATTATTTATGTTCTGCAGAGCAGGCTGGGGACTTTCTATGTGCTTTGGGATCCAGGGGCCAAGAATCTCACAAAAGATTCTGAAAAACCAATAGCATCATTTGCACCTCAGAGATTACAGGAAGCATCGCTCTTTGTAAACATGGTAGACTCACACTGTTATTTAGTCTGCTGTCTGGCACTGACTACCTTCTGCAAAGAGCAGTCAAACTTCCTCGTATTGATTTAAGACCCTATACAGGTTTTATGCCATGCCTGAAAGCCGAGAGCCCCGTTCAACAGTTAATATCAGTGTGTGAGCCCTCTGTGGGCATTCATCTCATTTTAGTTCCTACTCAGCTGACAAAATGAAAAGGAGGTCAAGGTCACATGAACAAAAAGGGACTCTTTGGAGTTGATATTCGGTTACATTCATGCCATGTGACAGCTTTCAAGAGACTTCCAATGGCAATTCGGCAAGCCATCTACTCACCTATATCACTCAGGCGTTTATGTTAGGTCATAAGCAATACAGACCTTAAAGTTAAAATAGGTCTAAACTAGTAGCAGACACTTTAAACTAGACAACTATGGCTCTTTTTCTTTATATTTCAACATGTGTACACATAATAATAATAATAATAATTATTATTATTATTATTATTATAAAACTCTAGCAACATGAGCTACAAAAAGAGCCTGGCGTCATTCTCGGATGAATTTGTTACATTGTATCCAGCGACAATTCTCTTCATGACGTCAGCTGCGCGAGGGCAAAGCGCTCACTCATCATCCTACAGTGAGACGAAACTTTACCTCTTTCAATCTCTGACACCAGTAAATCCACAAATCCGGCCGGACCGGGCTGTCCAACAATGACCAGCAAAGAGTACTTGTCGCTGCAGAAACCGGGTCGGCTGGAGTTTTCCATGCTTGCCAACTCGCCGCTGTGCTCCTCCGCCATGTTGCAAAGTTTACAGCGATTCTCGAGCGGATTGTTCATTTGACTCGGTTCTCTCTAATGATTCGGTCGAACCGATTCTCTCTGGATCTTTTGCGGAGAACATGACGTGAGAAAAAAAAATTGGAGCAACAGCATACATATTTGACACTTAATAATATTATTTATTTTTTAAAAGATTAAGCAATGATAGTTAGAGCGAATGAATATGGTACGCATACATTTATAGGGTACTGTATACGAACAAATACATTATATCTATTGATAATAATTTAATCGAACACATGGTGATAACAACCAAATATTAAATGTAGGTGCAAAACAATTAAATGTAAAATGCTGCTCGTGGACTTCTGGCAAACAATTTAGACTCGAAAGAACCGGTTCACTGAAATGAATCGTTCGAACGAACCGACCCCCTCAACTGAATTGGACAGCCCAACGGTAGCCTAATACAAGCGATGCGCGCTCAGGGAAACACCCACAATTTATATGCAAGGGGCGGGGAATAGTGGGTGACGTCATCTGCGTCCAATCAGTTGGTAAAGAGATTGCAAATTGGCATTTTGGAAAGATTTAGAAACTCGTGTTAACAGAAAACTGGGTCTATGATAGAAATGGGTGTATTTGATGTGCTTTTTAAAATTTTATTAGGAAAATGCTAGACAAGTGGGCTCTTTGCAAACAAAGCTTCTACATTTTATAAAAGACCTTTTATAGGCTACATAAAAATGTTGGAACAAATTAAAAAAGAAAAGGGAGCTGATATGTGAAAACGTGCTAAACACAACATGTAAAATTAAAGGAATATAGGATGAATGTTTTAATACTGGTCACTATTTTATTTAATTTTTTTAATGTTTGCTTTTAATGAATGGTGGTTTGCTGCAGTGTGGCAAATAACTTTTACAAAGTGCAAATATTTCATGTTGACTCCTAACTAGTTGATATGAGATACAAAGTGCGTGCCAAGTAATGATACAATGATGCTGATAGCATTCCACTGCCATGTCAACCAGCAAGCCTGGCTTTTTATGAAATACATTTGAATATATTTGAATAAACTAATTCATCAGTTTAACTTTTACTAGTCTAGTTAGACTAATTTGCTAGCTCTGATATGACACCAGCCCTTTATTCATTTAGATTTCATTTTCAGGGACTGAAATTGATTGAATAAGCTTTGCGCCACCTAGTGGTCACGAAAATACACGCTTTTAACAGTCAGTTTAGCATGCTATGAAACATATTTGTAACACATCAATCAGTAATCAGACTTTGAATAAAAAATGGAGATATGTACAAAAATTCATGCATTTATTTGATGTGTCAGTTTGCATTCATAAAACATGTTACAACAATGATGGGGAAACAACGAGCATCTCTAACAATCATCTTAAAACGCTGGGTTATGACACACAGAGGCATGTTTTCACAAGCACTTGAGGATGGAGAAGCTGCAGGTGGTTCCTCCTGGACAGCTGCAGAGCTTCCCGAAGCGAGCGCCTTTGCGAACCGCACACTGCTCACCTGCATCACACTAAACACACCATTGTTTCTTTAATGCACTTGTCAGACTTTACACTCTAAAAAATGCTGGGTTAAATACAGCCCACTGCTGGGTAAAATAGGGACAAACCCAACAATTGGGTTGTTTTGATCCAGCGGTTGGGTTACTACCCAGAAGGTTGGGTTAAACAACCGCTGGGTCAAAACAGCCCAATTGTTGGGTTTGTCCCTATTTTACCCAGCACTGCGTTGTATTTAACCCAGCATTTTTTAGAGTGTACAGTTTTCATATTGCGTAATTACATTAGGAAGCTCTGAATAACTCAACCTCAACAACTCAGTATGTCATTACCCTGTTGAAAAAACCAGCATATGCTGGTTAGGTATGTTTTGACGCTGGGATGCTGGTTTAAGCTGGTCCTTTGCTGGTTTAAGCTGGTCCTTTTGCTGGTTTATTAACCAGCAAAATCAGCATATGCTGGTTAGGTATGTTTTGACGCTGGGATGCTGGTTTAAGCTGGTCCTTTTATATTAACCAGTTTATTAACCAGCAAAAGGACCAGCATAAACCAGCAAAGGACCAGTTTAAACCAGCAAAAGGACCAGCATAAACCAGCAAAGGTCCAGTTTAAACCAGCAAAAGGACCAGCATAAACCAGCAAAGGACCAGCTTAAACCAGCAAAGGACCAGCAAAGGACCAGCTCAAACCAGCAAAGGACCAGCATAAACCAGCAAAGGACGAGCTTAAACCAGCATCCCAGCGTCAAAACATACCTAACCAGCATATGCTGTTTTTTTCAACAGGGTATTTTGTGGAGTATTCTTCATGGAGTACATTTTCATATTCCCATCTTCCCAAAATTAGATTCTGTCTTCGTTTACTCACCCTCGTGTCATTCCAAACCCCCCCAAAAAACTGTTTATCTTTGGAACAAGAATGAGGATATTCTTAAAATTGACTTATCATTTTTATCCATGCATTGAAAGGCAATCAACATGTTCAAACTTCAGCAAGGACATGATCATAAAAGTAATCGAGCAATTTAATCCAAGTCTTCTAAAGATCATGAACTGATTTTAATTTAGACTTTTATGCACATATAAACATTGATCAACACACATACGTAGAGCTCATCAAATATGGTAAACGGAAACTCAAACGATCGTGTCAAGTAGGTTAACTAGACTTTTAAAGGATGGACAAAAAATATTCAAAATATCTAAATTTGTGTGCCGGAGATTAGGTTTGGAAAAACATGAGGCTGAGTAAATGATGACAGAATCTACATCTTTGGGTGACCTAACTCTTTAATATTGGATAAAATAGTACACTCACATCTTTACAAATGGAATTCATATTAGTATTAAGTTAACATAGGTAGATTTGAATTAGTTCACAGTTTTATTTTGAGTGGATTTTGCTGTGTATTTGCTACACACTGCAGAAATATGTGACAAACAGTTATTAATGTATCTATTAAGCAATATATTTAGAAGTATTTTATCCTTTTGTCCTTTCTCAGAACAAAATGTTTCAACCAAAGCATGATTTCACTGATATACAGTTCATATCCAGAGTTCAAAATGTACTGCAGAATACCAATGACCTAATTACATTTGTATTATATTCATGTGTAAGATATGTGTAAACAGACACTGTAAAGGATTGTATTACTGAACAGACTTACCGAGGGAACCCAGCCAAACTTCTTCTCTGCAGTGGGAATCTGTTTGTTTCTCAGTTTTGCAAGAACTTCTTGAAGAGCTTCAATCTATAAAATATATATATTTTTCCTAATGAATGTATCTGTTAATGCTGTAATGATTTCTAGAGTGTCTGAAACCAGTTATCTTACCAGTTCTTTCTCCTCTTGAGCCTTCATATTATCGTCTATCGAGCGGATCTCTAGAAAATCATCACAACTAACTAGTAGCATTAAGACGGAGCAGGTTACGGTTAGAAGAAAGATCCGATCACTAACCATTGTGTCGAGGAACAGGACTTGACGTCTATCGTGACCGACTCTTCTCAAGTAACAGAAGAAGGACCATCTCAAGCACTTATAAGCTCTCTGCGCAATGATCAGATGCATCAAAATGAGATGTTGTAGATGTCTCGGCTCATGTCTCCACTGAGAACGTCAGCATGATGATTCATACGTCTGACCCATGACCCTCAAACATCAAGCCACCGATGTACACCTAACCTCATCTTTGACTACAATCACCAATCCTTTTTAGTTTCCGGAGATCATTTCATGACCGGAACATCTATGACAAGGCATTTTAAGAGAACCGGGGCCAGTTGCAAACCTTTTGTAAATCTATTTTGGTTTTGTGCGTCATGTGGGTTATGAGTGAAAATGAAACATGCACATAAACATCTCAGCATTAACAAATAACTATTAATGACTGAACAATTAGATCACCATGACTTTAATACACAGAAGATCTTTGATAGTTCCAAATCTTTTACAATTATTTTCCATATAATGGAAGTTGGAAGTAGATGAAATAAATGAAAAAGAAATGCATTACACCGGTATTACAAAGTGTCATGAATTAACAGATTTTTTTTTATTATTATTATTAGTACACTCTAAAAAATGCTGGGTTAAATACAACCCAGTGCTGGGTAAAATAGGGACAAACCCAGCAAATGGGTTGTTTTGACCCAGCGGTTGGGTTACTACCCAGAAGGTTGGTTTAAACATTTAACCCAACCGCTGGGTCAAAACTGCCGAATTGCTGGGGTTGTCCATATTTTACCCAGCACTGGGTTGTATTTAACCCAGCCTTTTTTAGAGTGTGGGTTACGTCTGACCCTGGATCTGAGTAACACTAAAACTACCCAAACATTGGGTTGTTATGTCTGACCCAGGAGCTGCAAAACAACCCAAACACTGGGTTGTTACATTTGACCCAGGAGCTGGGTAACACAAAAACTACCCAAACACTGAAAAAATAACCCAAAAATGACCCAAAAGGCTCAACCCAGCATTTGGGTTAAAAGAAAATAACCCAGGATTTTTTAGAGTGCTGAATCACAACTGTAAGCTGATAAAATGATTTATAATTTGAGCTGTCTGGTCAGATTTCACAGGTCAGTTTCAAGTAATTCATCTTTGCTTTAAATCACGTCATAAACAAATCACGTCTGGTTATTAACCCTGTAAGGCCCACTGTTGTAATATTACAACATCATTTTTAGCTTGATTTTTTCTCTCCAAGACCACATTCACACAACAATCCCATTGTTTAGCCTTACGTCGGATGCTAGATTTGAAAAAATAGGCCTGTTTATCTGACCATGAACTCACACAACCTTCGAACGTCCCTTGAAGCACATCATCTTGTTTTTCTGGACTGGATAAATCAACATTCAAGTAAGTAAAATGCCTAAAACGTTTTTTTTCCTGTGATTAGTAGTATGTCTAGATCATGTACACTCTTAAAAATAAAGGTGCTTCGCGATGCCATAGAAGAACCTTTTTGTCTAAATGGTTCCATAAAGAACCTTTAACATCTGAAGAACCTTTCTGTTTCATAAAAGCTTCTTTGAGGCGAAAGAAGGTTCTTCAGGTTACAAAAAGGTAAGAAAGAGATGGTTCTTTAAAGAACCTTTGACTGAATGGTTCTTTGTGGAACCAAAAATGGTTCTTCTATGGCATCGCTTGAAGAACCTTTTGAAGCACCTTTATTTTTAAGAGCTTCTCACTTGTTCCATGTGAAAAAATTTTTATAAATAAAAAATACTAATAGAAACATACTGTTTTTGATCATTCACAAGTTTTAAATGTCTTTTTTGTTACCATTTTGAGATTCAATCAAAATGCAATGATTATTAAATAAGTTCAAGAATAAATTATTTCTTCAAGAATTTGAAAGTATTTGTGTAGCAATATTTGAAACTATCTGTATCTTATAATTTATAAAACATGCTTGACATGGCCCTGTGTTCTTTTCTGCTTGTTTGCCCAAACATCTGCTTGGGACAGGTGATCATGTTCTGGAATGGAGGGGTTATATAAGTGCTATTTGCATGATACGCTATCAGACAGTATTGTGTGAATTCTGTGAATGGGTGAATTTATATTTCAGAATGTCACCAGGCAGGAAAGACTGTCCCATCATCACTGATACTATCCAGAATGGGAACAGTGACAGCGATGGACTCTGATACGAGAGATGCAAGTTTTAAAGTCCAGTGATTAAAGGTTTAAAGTTTTCATGTAGTTTATCAGCTTTTGTAAATAGAATCTGAATGTTTTTTAATAATAAATGGTTTTTCATAAAAATATGACTTATTTTATCCTTATTGTGTGATTATTAGTGTATATGTCCATATAGGCCACTGTTATGAGGTTACAGAAGCATCACACCCTGCAAATGAACTCTTATATATCCTCTACATTTCTTCAGACAGTGAATAAAAACACTGAAATAAAAATTGAAATTCTGAAATGCAACGCGTTTAATTACACAATAAGCATTTTCCTCCCATAGAAAAACCCAGTATTAGTTTGGTCTTTTAAAAACACTGTCTTAAGGCGTTAAGCCATGTTAAGTGTTTTTCCTTTTAGAATGTCCCTTCTTGGGTGGTAGACAAAGAGAATGTGTGCAGTGTTGATTTACAGTCATTAATGTCTTATAGGGGTCATATGATGTTGCTAAAAAGAACATTATTTTGTGTATTTGGTGTAATGAAATGTGTTTATGCGGTTTAAGGTTTAAAAAACACATTATTTTCCACATACTGTACATTATTGTTTCTCCTCTATGCCCTGCCTTTCTGAAACGCGTCGATTTTTACAAAGCTCATCGGTCTGAAAAGCGAGGTGTGCTCTGATTGGCCAGCTATCCAGTGCATTGTGATTGGCTGAATACCTCCAGCGTGTGACAGAAATGTTACGCCAGTCACCATACTGTGATGCCTTGTCCAGCCGGAGCGATGAGACAAAAACATTAAAACCCATTATAAATGAGGCATTTGTTGCATCCAGTGGGGACATAATTACTGATTATAATGACTTATACTGTCTTTTTACG